TTTAATTCATTGATAAACAATCTGAGTCTATAAAATTCCAAATCTGGAATCCTGAATGTATAGAAAAATACTTGTAACAAAAGCCATGAAAATGTATACTGATTAAAATGATCAGAAAATGTATTTACGCTTTAATGAATTATTAGATCGCGATGTTTATTGGAGTTAATTGGTGTTCATTATTAATTGGATACTAGAGGGAAAGCCGAAGCACTTTCTAGGAATTATGAGAGGATTCTGAAGCATTCGGAGATGTGAATATATGCTAGGATACGGGTATGTTTATTTTTAACTTATTAATATTATTATTATAATTATCATTAGTGCTATTATTATTATTATTAGTGCTATTATTATCATTATTATCACCATTATCATTATCATTATTATTACTATCATTATCTTTATATTTCCTTTTTACTGTTATTTTACTATTATGGTTACAGAGAGAGAGAGTCATTCATCATCATTTTTTAATGCAATGGTTGTTTTCATATTGTTTGATTTATTGCCATTTATTACTACCCTGTACTCGTGTTGATCTTGTATACTTGTTGATCATGTACACTTGTTGATCATGTACACTTTCTCCCATTGTGTCTGACTAACTGTTACATTGTGAACAGGTGTTTTGAAAGATGAATATATTAATAATTGTGTATGTAAAGCAGTGTAACAGGAAAAGCTGGGAAATGTCACAAACTAAATAATTCCTGGAACAACAGTTCTGTTTACTGATATACAAAACATAAATGTATACGAAAATGTATTTGTATAAACGTATAATTTTTATGTAAAACATTTCACTTCAATATTTGTTGAATGTCACTGTGTTTGGTCAAGATATACACGGACAATTACTTTGTGTTCAAATGCATACGTATATATTTGCACACATACAAATACACGTACCTACACACGCGTACACAAACACACATACACATACACACACACATACACACGCATGCACGCACACACACACACACACACACACACACACACACACACACACACACACACACACACACACACACACACACACACACACACACACACACACACACACACACACACACACACACAAACACACACTAACAAACACACTACATAACAAACACATACATATAATACAAATAACAACATACTCTCTCTCCTTACTCTCTTGTTCCACCCGTACAAAGAAGCATATTCTCGCCACAGCTAAATGGTTCATCCTATACACTTGCCCTTTGATATATTTCCCCCGAAAGACTGAGCTCTGACTAAGGGACTAACGGGGCTCTGGTGACAATCTTCTCTGTCTCGTTAGGAGGGAGTCGAACTACGATGCTTCACTGCTGTATTGGCTCTGTGGATCCAAGCTTCGAAATGCGGTGTGTTAGTTTCTTTTTCTTTATTAGCTTTTATTTTATTTGTTTTTATTTTTGTTCGTCTGTTTTTTGTTTTTGTTTTTTTTGTTGTTGTTGTTGTCTGTTGTTGGTCCTAGTTTCATTCATATAGCTGTTGTTCCTGGTTTTGTTGTATTTGTGTACTGTATTCTGTTCATTTTGATCGTGCTATGAGTTGTGGTATGTGTGCAGCCTTGAGATTATTTTTGTTATTAGGCTGCTCTCTCTCTCTCTCTCTCTCTCTCTCTCTCTCTCTCTCTCTCTCTCTCTCTCTCTCTCTCTCTCTCTCTCTCTCTCTTGTCGCCGGGAGGTTACTGCTGTGGTTGGGCACCACGGCGGGTACCGACTAAGCTCAGCCGAGTCAGCACCAGCTGACACACGTTAGTGAGTCGGCATTAGTCGACACAGGCCAGGCTCCCCACATGGGTATGGCCCGAGCGAGGCTCAGGTACGCATGTCGGACTTAATCTTCTCTCTCTCTCTCTCTCTCTCTCTCTCTCTCTCTCTCTCTCTCTCTCTCTCTCTCTCTCTCTCTCTCTCTCTCTCTCTCTCTCTCTCTCTCCAATTCCACCCCAAGGACGCATACAGAGTAATGTTATGCAAAGGGACTCTATCGTGGGAACATTTTCCCCCATGTGCTCTGCTGTTATCTGATAGAGATATCGCCTGATATAAGCTTTGGTATTAATTTTATTCACCTTCATATGTTTTGCAGCGTTCGATTCCTCAACCCTTTCACCTGAGATATAATTAACTTCGATGCTGTTGATGTCAGTAACTTCAAAATTGAGTCATTTATAAAATCCTCATTCAAAGTCGATGTTCGGATAATCCCAGAATTTTCATTTCTGTTGAAAAATATGAATACACACGCGCAAAACGATATATTGTGGACTGAATGTTGGTTTACATGTTTTTGATAATAGTTTCGTTGACTAATATCACTTCCACATATATATTAAGAGTTTTTTTTTATTATTTGAAGACTGACTTAGCACAACGATAGTCCTGAAACTAACACTACTACTACTATCACTAGAGCTGCAAGTTATATTGCTATTACTACTACTACTACTATTACTACTACTACTATCACAGTTACCACCCCTACCTCTATTATTACGACCACCACAGTGCTAAGTCAACTAAAAACACTACTAGTTTTTACTGCTGATACCATAACTAACATCAACAGTAATGATAATAATCCTACTTCTTTCTAAAAGACTTTATACTTTGGTGACATCATTCATTCAGTCAGACGGGTTTTTATGCAGGAAATAGATTGAATTTGTGGAAAATTGAATTCTGTTCAGAAAGATTTGGACATAAGTGCGTCCTTGTCTACCTATACTTGGCGTCTTAAAATTGCTACTTAGTCAGCTCTTGCAACGTTGAATTGATTTGTTGATTCATGAAAAGGTAATAATGTTGTCGTTTTTTGTATGATCTATGTGGTTCTTTCCCAATAAACTTTTGCTCATATAACTGTCTTCTATCGGGATCTCTCTCTCTCTCTCTCTCTCTCTCTCTCTCTCTCTCTCTCTCTCTCTCTCTCTCTCTCTCTTTCACTCGCTCACTTTCTCTCTCTCTCTCTCTCGCTTTGGCGCTCCTCTCTATCTGTCTGTTTATCTATCCCTTGCTTTGGCTCTCTCTCTCTCTCTCTCTCTCTCTCTCTCTCTCTCTCTCTCTCTCTCTCTCTCTCTCTCTCTCTCTCTCTCTCTCTCTCTCTCTCTCCCGCCCTCCCTCTCCCTCTCCCAGTGATCACAATCCATAGTTAATCACTGGTGCTTTCGCCGGCAACCGTGAGTGTATAGGATCAGTGTTCTTCGAAAAACACTTTGAAAAACAAGTTATTTTGGGAAGAAACACACACGCACACACACACACACACATATGAATGTATGTGTGTATGATATATACATATGTATGTATGTGTATAGAATCAGTGTTCTTCGAATGAAAATCAAATATTTTGGGAAGAACCACGCACATACATGCACACACACACACCCAAACACACACACACACACACACACACAAACACACACACACACACACAAACACACACACACAAACACACACACACAAACACAAACACACACAAACACACACACACACAAACACAAACACACGCACTCGCATACATATATATATATATCCGTGTGTGTACAGACTTCACAGCTTTATCCCATGCACCGTAATACCCAATCAGTTTCTGCACTACATCCCCGCCGCCGCAAGTTTACCACTCAGGCCGGGCGTAAATCCTGGAGGGGGGGGGGGGGGGAGATGTGGAGTCGAATCCTCCGCCCGGGAATTTTATGAGATTTAAGCTTATCGTAAAACAAACAGTAAGCAAAGCTGGAGACAGCGTTTCTCACTCGCCGCTGCCTTTGCAAAAATATATCTATGTTTTCATTTATTGCGAGAGAAGTTACTTTTCCCGCAGTAAATATTTACTCTTTAATGTACATGTGGTATTGTGTAGTTATGTATGTGTGTGTGTATATATGTGTATGTATATATCTGAATATATATATATATATATATATATATATATATATATATATATATATATATATGTATATATATATATGTACATATATATGTAGGTATATATAGATATATTTATATGTATATAGTTATATATAGATAAATTTATATATATATATATATATATATATATATATATATATATATATATATATATATATGTGTGTGTGTGTGTGTGTGTGTGTGTGTGTGTGTGTGTGTGTGTGTGCGTGTGTGTGTGTAATATACATTCTCACAACTGTATAGTATTTTAAACCGACACGATATACCCGTCATCTACATTGCTCTCTGCTAAGATTAAATATATTAATAAATACATAATGAATTAATCGATGCAACAGGAAAAGTAAACAAGAAATCAGTTTACTCATATTCAGAATAAAATCTGTGAGACGAGAAAATTAAGAGAATAAAATATTCATATTTTTATCATATCTTTCCGTGCATGACTTCATATCAAACAGTATTTCATATAAATATTTGCTAAGCATGTTTATATTTGTTTAGGACATATACGCACTTTTACTCTGTTTATGTATACACATATGTCTATATATGCGTGTGTGTTTGTGTGTGTGTGTGTGTGTGTGTGTGTGTGTGTGTGTGTATGTATGGTAGAAAAACCCACAATATAAAAACTAGATTTATTAAAAATGAGACAACACTTTCGGAATCCACCTGGATTCCGAAACTGTTGTCTCATTTTTGATAAATCTAGTTTTTACATTGTGGGTTTTTCTACCATAGTATCAACACGGTAGAGCGTTTTCATCATTCATATATATGTATATATGTATACATATATGTATATATATGTATACATATGTGTGTGTGTATTTGCACGTGTGTATGTGTGTGTGTGTGTCTGTTTGTGTGTGTGTGTGTGTGTGTGTGTGTGTGTGTGTGTGTGTGTGTGTGTGTGTGTGTGTGTGTGTGTGTGTGTAATTCATAACTTAGCGATGCCAGAGCCAAAATGAAAGGGGTGAGTGTTAAAAAGACATAAAAGAAAGCGAGGAAGACGTCTGTGCCTAATAAAGATGGTGATAAGATAAATACTTTCGGTTTCTCGGAATTTATTATGGATCTGTATTTTTCCTGCAAATGACAGCGGAAGGGAGGAATGGAAGGGGAAGAAAAATAGAAAAAAAGGAGGATAAGGGAGGAATAGAAGGTGAGAAAATGGAAATAGATACTGAGAAGGATGGAGACAAACAAAAGAGGTAGATAGATAGATAGATAAACATATATATACTGAGAAAGAGAAAGAGAGAGATGGCCGAAGGAAGAGAGAGGGAGGGAGAGAGGAAAAAGAAGAGAGAGAGAGAGAGAGAGAGAGAGAGAGAGACAGAGACAGAGTCAGAGACAAACAGACAGACAGACAGAAACAGCCAGCCAAAGAGAAAAAAAAACAAAAACAATCAAGATATCAAGACTGATACAAGGAAATAAAATAAATAACAACAACAATAATAATAACAAACTCCCGAAATCTACAGCTGGCAGCACAGGAACTTAACATCATTCAGGGCCGTATCGTCACCAAAGGTTCCCTGATTGGACTGCACCCTCGTCATGATGCCACAGATGACGTAACCCTCCTTGCAGTACGAAGGCCCCAGCCACTCTCCCCACTTGTTCCCGGGGGCTTCCAGCGGCGCCTCCTCCCCCGCGCACCACATCTTCAGGCCGTTAGCAGCGGTGTTGTCTCCTATGGCGCCTACGTCAGCGTGGCTCTGGGGACGTGGGAGGTATTGGGTGAGTGGGTGAGTGGTTATAGGTGTTAATTGGTGGTTATGGGTGTTAATAGGTGGTTATAGGTGTTAATTGGGGGTTATGGGTGTTAATAGGTGGTTATGGGTGTTAATTGGGGGTTTTGTGTGTTAATTAGGGGCTATGGGTGTTAATAGGTGGTTCTTTGTGTTAAAGGGTGGTTTTGTGTGTTAACTGGCTGGTTATGGGTGTTAATTGGGGTTTTGTGTGTTAATTGGGGGTTTTGTGTGTTAATTAGGGGTTATGGGTGTTAATAGGTGGTTCTTTGTGTTAATGGGTGGTTATGTGTGTTAACTGGCTGGTTATGGGTGTTAAGTGGGGGTTTTGCGTGTTTATTGGGTGGCTATGGGTGTTAACTGGGTGGTTAGGTGTGTTAATGGGTGGGTTTGTTTTAATTGGGGGTTTGGTGTGTTAATGGTTGGTTATGGGTGTTAATAGGTGGTTCTGTGTGTTAATGGGTGGTTATGTGTTAATTGGGGTTTATGCGTGTTAACTGGGTGGTTCGGTGTGTTAATGGGTGCTTGTGCGTGAATGGCTGGTTATGTTTGTTATTGGATGGTTATGTGTTAATAGGCCGTTATGTGCGTTAATGGGTGATTATGTGTCAATGGCTGGTTATATATGTCAATGGGGGGTTACACTAGTTGGATGGTTTATGCAGTGGATAGATGGCCATGTATATTGGATGGTTAAATGTGTTTGACGGACTGATTGGTGTGTGTTAATGGCTGAATGTGTATGTTGGATGGCATGGATGACTTACTATGTATGTTTTGGTGGATGGTTAATAATGGATGGTTGAATGGTCATGTGTGTTAATGGCTAGTTGTGTATATGGATGGTTACGTAACGGATGGATGTGTATATTGATGTTTGTTCTCCTGATCATCAGAATTATATATGTAAATGTGTGCGAGTGTGTGTGTGTGTGTGTGTGTGTGTGTGTGTGTGTGTGTGTGTGTGTGTGCATACGTTCACTGCACATATGTAGATATGAGTCTGTATGTGTATATCTAACAAAGACAAACACCAACGGACATATACAAACACACACACACAACGCAAACACGAACACCCAAGTACAAATACACACACACAACGCAAACACGAGCACCCAAGTACAAACAAACACACACACACACACACACACACACACACACACACACACACACACACACACACACACACCTGCATACACTCACCCACGACTCACCTTGAGATCGTATCCTCTGAGATATCCGCCGTGGCAGTGATGGGAACCAGTCCACACTCCTCGGTCCATTGTGTCTGACGTAATCTCCCCGGTGTGTGTGCCGTCAGGGTTGCGACAGAATAGTTGTATGGCGTTTAGGCTGGAATCGTCGTCGAGTGACCCGACTTCTGGCTCGACCTGAGGTGGAAGAGGAGAGAGAGGTGGAGGATAAAAACGAGTGGGAAGAGAAGGGAGTGGGGAAGGAAGGTGGAAAGGGAGAGAGGTGGAGGATAAAAGCGAGTGGGAAGAGAAGGGAGATGGAGGGAGATAGGTGGAGGATAAAAGCGAGTGGGAAGAGAAGGAAGTGGAGAATGAAGATGGAAGAAGAGAGGTGGAGGATAAAATCGAGAGGGAAGAGAGGGAGGGCGTGAGAAGGAAGATGGAGGGAGAGAGATGGAGGATAAAAGCGAGTGGGAAGATATGGGAGTGGAGAATGAAGATGGAGGGAGAGAGGTGGACAATGAAGATGGAGGAGAGAAGTAGAGAATGAAGATGGAGGATAGAGGTAGAGGATGAAAGGGAGAGGGAATAGGGTATTAAAGAAGAGATGGAGAAAGATAGGTGGAAAGAGAAAATGATAAAAGCAAGAGGAAAGGCGGAATTGAAGAAAGGAAAATGGAGGGAAAGGGCTGGAGAGGAAAGATGAAAGGAGAGGGAAAAAAGAAAAGAAAGAAACGAAAAATGTAACAGAAAAACAAATAGAGGAACGTGTACACAAAGATGGGCTGAAACGTAACAACTGTAAGTCTGGAACAAAACGATCCTGGACTTTTCTATTTTCTTTTTTTTCTTCTTTTTCTTTGTTCTTTTTTTTACTGATACTAGACAGTGGTAAATTTCAGTAAAGAAACAAACAAAAAAAAATCACCCCTGGACTTTGTTGTAATAAAAAGATAAAGTAGCACTGAATGCAGTAAATACTAACTTTTAAAAAATGTAAATACTCTGCACAAGCATAAAAGCACAAAAAAATGTAAAAAAAAATCGTGATGAATCGGAGCTTTCCAGAGTCTGTTGTAAACTGTTCGTTTTATCATATTTTACTTTTTTTATATCCCTTTTTCCCAGGATTCGACTTAGCATAGATCCCACGATAAAAGAGAAATGAATGATTCATGTTGGGATGTCAAAGTTCATCGTTAATTTCTTAAAGTAGCTTTATTAAATATAAATAAATAAATAAATAAAAATAATAATAAGAATTTCCAAATAATTGTTTACTGGCATAAGATGTGCAGAGGAATACAAGAGAACAAAAGAGAAACATTAGACAAATAAATACAAATAATAAAGACAAAAAAAAACAAAAAAAACAATGGAAATGAGCAACGTACCGAAATTTCAAAACCATAGGCATAAGATCCATTTGAGCATGACTCTGTCCTGCCCCAGAAACCCCACATAGTTGCTCCTTGGGAATGGATATAGTCTTCGGGATTGACACCTGCGTTGAGTGGGACAGAAGAGCTAATTAGGCATACCTGGTCATACCTGGAGAGGATTACGTAAGAGGGCTCCCCATTAGCGTACAGGCAGAGGTTACATTGCCAACGTTCAAGTAAATAATGGTGATAATGATATAGATAAGGATAATGATAATGACGATGATGAGGATAACGATCATAATAATATCATTATTATTGATGATAATAACAGCAACAATAGTGACAATGATAACAACAACAACAACATACTATAATAATAATGATGATAATAATAATAATAATAATAATAATAATAATAATAATAATAATAATGGTAATGATAATGATTCATAATAATAATATTAATAATAATAATAATCTAGTTATTGTCATCTATCACAATGTTTGTTATATTTGCCATGCTATCTCTTTATCTCTTTATCTATTTTTCTTCAAAATTACCGGGATTACGGCACACAGAGAGTATGACTGAGAAAATGATGATGTGACGAGGCTGCTCATTTCTGCAGAAGCGAAGGTTATATTTGTTAAATGAAGTTGGATCAGGCGCGAAGTTGCCGCCATTGACGTGTATGAATGCGATTATAGAGGCTAGACTTCGGATTAACATGTGTATAACATGTGTATAAATTAGCCATGCGGTTAAATATTGCAAAATTATTTATTATATATTGCAATTTTGTATACTGTTTGTACAGTATGATACAGAGGTATGTAATTATAACTAACTTGAATCAAAGCCGAAGTCTAGGTTCAAGCGTCGCATTCAGATCATTTGTGATGGCAACGTTAGTCTGATTTATTTTTCTTTTTTTATACAAAAAAAATATATATATATGAGAATATACGTAAATAAATCCTTTTCAGTCAAGGGCAGACATTATTACCTCTCTTCTTCCTCTATATAAGAAGTTTTTTATTAATGTTTTAAGTGCGCTAACTGTTTATAAGCATAGGTCGAGTATCGTCTTAATAAAACAGTAAAGTGATACTAATATTAGTTCAAAAAGAGATGACATTATCAATGTGTCACGCGTTTCCATGAGTCAAAAATGAATATATTCATTAACATAAAACAGGAACAAAAAAGAAACAAAAATAAGTAAAAAATGTATCAAAGCAACCCACAAAATACGAATTACCTTTCATTTAAATGCCTAGTTTATTCTGCAAGCACAGCTTCACGCAAGAATTAAGATCAAAGCCATGCAATGCGCAATGTAAACAAAAGTCTATTAATATTTATAATTATGGGAAGAAAATAAACAGCATACAGATATGTCACATATTTGAAATCCTGTATCTGCATTTGTTCATATTCTAAACGAAATAGACATGCGCGCACACATATATCAATTTATATATAAGTAGATACATTATACGAAAATATAAACACACACACACACACACGCGCGCGCGCGCGCACGCATGCACGCAAAGACCGCACGCACGTACACATCTATATGTGTGTGTGTGTATGTGTGTATGTATGTGTGTGTGTGTTTGTATGTGTGTGTATGTGTGTATGTATGTGTGTGTGTGTGTGTGTGTGTATGTGTATATGTGTGTGTGTGTTTGAATGTGTGTGT